TTAATAGGTCAATCAGTCTTTCTGAGTTGATTATTTTATAAATTTCGATTTCATGCATAACTAATTTTTAAATAAAATTTCATAGTTCATATTGCCTACTATTTGCCTCTCAATCAATCAATCAGCCAGTCATTGCTAACACATTTCATATGCATTTCAAAATTTTGTGGCATTTATTGCCCTTCGGCTACGTGTTGCAATTATCCATTTCGGTGCCCTGCAAGAGTCGCGAGTCGAGGAAAGACATAAAAGTCAAGTGCTTGACAATTTATGCACGTCTCTCGCATTAATTAACGCTGCATAGTTCGAGGCGTCGAGGCCCACGGCTAGCTTCAGAGAGTAGTTCCTCGACTTGTGTCTTTCAATTAGCTTAACTGGCAGAACTTTCGCTGTAAACTAATATCGTCTGACTCGAGAGTAGCGCGCTAATTGAGTCATAAATAAAATCAATTAGAAATTATGTTGACAGCCTGCTTGCATATGGTGAAAGTGAGCGAGAGGGAGAGGGAGATGGAGCAAGGGAAACAGAAGCTGAACATATTTGGCATCTTAATGGGAAAGTCGTATGGAAGTAAATGTTAAGAAAAGCAAAGATATGTGTGAAAGCGATAAATATAAATTAAATTACTTAACTGAAGTACGAATTATTTATATACACCCTCTAAAGGCTACTCTCTCTACAGGCTACTCTCTCTACAGGCTACTCCCTCTACAGACTATTCTCGTATATACAGAAAAAACTCTTTATATTTGATTTAATGTTTGTCTCACATTTTCTATTATTTTTATCCTCAACAATTTCTGAAGAATTTTTGCTGTCTCGTATCAAGTTGAAAGTGGAAATATGAGAAACGTTCGCACTCATCTATCAAACTATTTTTAGCTATTTCTTGATTTGGAAATCGAAACTTGAATGTGTGAATAGTTACTTAAATTCGTTTCATTTCTGTGTGGGAGATTATGGGCACAACAACATCGCGGAAGCGAAACAGATACAACAATGTCTCGTATGCTTGGTGGCAACAACAATGTCTTGGCTTTGATGTCTTAACTCCCCACTGAATCTCGACGCGACTTTCGCTGAAAGCCATCAAAGTTCAATTCAATCAATTTTCAATATAGCTAACGGGAGAGTGACAGAGAGAGACAGCTAGAGATAGAGAGGAAGAGAGCTTCAAGTTAAGTGTTGTCTGCGTGCTCTACACCTAGTTTCACCTGGCGTCTCTCGACTCTGGACTCGCCACTGTCGACTGTCTGCTACGTGTTACATCACAATTGACATTGGTAATGAAATTCCAATCGAACTCTATAGTTCTTGTTGTTGTTGCTGTTGTTTTTTGGTGTCAAGTCAACCTCTACATGCATAAATATAAGTAGAAATGCCTTGAGCCAACCTCCCTACTCTCACAACTATCTATGGCAATCTGTCATGTCATGTGTTGTTAGGCACCGCCATTCGAAGTGTGTGCTAAATAATTGCAATAAGAAAGCAAACGATAGGGCTGAAAAGGGGCTATGCTCAACTGGAAAATGCCCTGTACTTAGATTTACCTTTATTCACAGAAAGTGTACCAAATAACTGAAGCTAGGTGCCACGCTTATGTATATAACATAAAAAAATAAAAAATGCTTAAAAAAGTCGATATTTATCGATTTAAAATTATTAAAAATTTTTTACTATATAATAAGACGTCATTTGATTCTCTCCTGTCTTCACCTCATACAGTCTCAGGTATATGCCTCAAAAAGAAGTCGATATTTATCGATTTCAAATTATTGAGTTCATGTAGACAGAATTAATCATGATTTCCTATATAATAAGACACAATTTTGACCCTCACCTGTCTTTAGCTCATACAGTCTCAGAGATAGCCCTTAAAAAAAGTCGATATTTATCGATTTCAAATTATTGACTTTGGAAAACCAGGATTACTCACGATTTCCTATATAATATGGCAAAATTTTTATTCTCACCTGTCTTCTGCTCATATAAAAAGAAATCGATATTTATCGATTTTAAATCTGAGCTTGCAGTATATTAGGGTATATTAGTAATTTGAAGTCTATAATCGAGGCATTACTTTAGACGCATTCAACATTTTTTAAGTATGGAAATTTGATAACTCGCACAATACAATCCCAATATGCCCTGCATAAACCACACAATTGCTAGGGTATTCCAACTAAAACAAAGAATTGTAACGGAAAGGAAAAGGAAGCACTTGTATGATAGTCAAATTTCCTGCCCGGAATGAGTTCAGGATATGTCGACAATCTTTTTATTACCTTCGTTCCTTCGTGGCTTCATCCTCTTTCCCCTGTCCTTGACATTGCAGCTATTCAGGCTGCATCCGTTCCTGTCACGCACATACAGGTGGGCCGTGATTTATAAGCGGCACGCTTTGGGTTATTACAGTGTCTTTAATGCCAGATGCATAGGCGAAGCTTATAGGTCAGACCTTGCTGTGGGCGTACTTTATGTGAGGGCGTGAGGAGACCCGAGATTGGGCTGAAGAGAAACGCGATAAAAGTCTACGCACATGTAAACCCATACGAAACTATCCAATAAAATAGCTGGGCTTTTGTTCATAAAATGTTAATTGCAAAAGTATAGATAAAATATAAAATAATGAGAGCTTACATCGGTAGGCTATTACAAATAGATGTCAAAGTTTCTGGCTCCTAGTCAGTGTTCAGAAATTTATATTCATATAAAAATTGAAATTGAAATTTAAATACTTATAAATATTTTTGAACTTATATAAGCTTTGAAGATGGGCTTTTTTTTATTATTTTATTGCTTATTATAAAATTGTTTATATAAAAAAATATACGTAGAATATAATATATATTTAATAATTTTTCTTATTTCTAAAATTAGTTCAAAATAATTTTATATATTAATTCGAAAACAGTCTTAAAATAGTTGTTCATTAAAAAATTTAAAACATTTATTAAATAAATTTATAAAAATTATAAAAATTATTGCTCATCAAAATACTTAATCAAAATTAAATTAAATTAATTAAATATTAAATTTTTTTATATTTAAACCAAGTTTTACCTTGCAGTATTCAGTATATTTAACCTTCATAAATCGTATTAAAACTTCATTTAAGTCTGGCCAAAACCACATCAAAACTTAATTTGAGGCCAAAAACCGTTTAACAACTATTTATTTTTTGGCACCCAGCCAAACCGAGAGGTGAAACCAAATTCAAATTTGGTATTATAGCCGCAGACTTAGTCAGAAGTCAGGCAATATGTGGTGTAGGCCATGATTATTGTCAGACATGCCGTCAGACCATATCAATCAGGTAATTTAGCATGATTTCGCCACAGAAGTTGGCTCTATTCTGAGTGACTAGACACCTAAGCTTCTCTGTCCTTTCGTATTAAGGCTTGCTGTCAGCTTAAATTTGTTTCGTGCAGCAAATGAGACAAAGTTGGCGGCTTTATAGATATAGTATATATATACTATATATATGCGATATATTTACCATATTTAATATACATAAACAAATATGTGGATAAGCCCATGATAAAGCCAAACTAATTGCCATTAGCAATTGCCAGAGAGTTAACTATAAAAGTCAAGAAATGTTTTTTTTATGTTAGTTTGCATTATATATGCATATCTACAAATCGCATGTATGGCTCCAATATGTATTACCATATAAAGCTCGCCAAATATGTGGAGCACACACATCAAATGGAGTTCTGTCAAAAAGAAAAGAAAAATGCTTAACGACTAGACTGTCTGCTAAAAGGCCCAACTGAATATGCATCCATAGTATAGGTAGTCATAAATATAGACTTACCTCTTTGCATCCGATCCCTCCTCTGCTTGGTTGAAATTACACTCAATAGTAGGGGGAGAGCTTCTATGCCTTAAAGCAGCAAATGTGGAAAAAATGATATGTGAAGTATAGAAATAATGTGGTCGAATTTTAAATGCACTGAATAAATAAGATTTGCTAAAAAATAAGAGAGAAATAAAGGGAGGGAGAAAAAGAGAGAGAAATAAAGTAAAACAGAGAAAGAGAGAGAAAGACTTAAAGATAGAATGGAATAGAATGAAAATAAGAATGAGAAAAAATGGTACAAACAGGCTAATAAAATAATAGAGAGAGAGAGGGAGAGAGATATGTACGAAACAGATTAAATAGAGGAAGCGATTTAGGATATATAAAAATAGATAGTGACAGCGAGAGAATTCATTCAATACAGAAAGAGATAAGATAGATAAGAAATTATAGACAGATATATGGAAAACAAGAAAATAAAAATCCAGAGAGAGAGAGAGAGAGAGAGAGAGAGAGAGAGAGAGAGAGAAAGAGAGAGAGAGAGGGAAAGGGAAAGGGAAAGGGAAAGGGAAAGACAGAGAGAAATGCAAATTAATTTCCATATATATATTATATATATCTATATATATATATATATATATATATATATATATATAATAATTAATTCTAAGTATTTAAATATGTTTATTAGTATAAAGAAGATTCAAGGCGAATAGAGTATAGAGAAACCTTCTGTAGAGTTTCATGCATAGACAAATTTTCACATTTATAAGTTCGGGCTTGAGGAAGGTATAATCAGGTGGCGTTGACTTCTTGGTGCCAGTTTTCTTTTTTTTTTTTTTTGGGTGTTTGGCAACCAAAATAAAAAGCAAAGCAAAGCAAAAAAGCCAAACTAAAAGCCGAAAAATAGCAAAGAACTAGAAGCTCTATAGAAACCAAATATGTGGCCGACCTCATTCGTTACCAAGAGTTACAAGCGCGAAAACGCGGCGCATTCGTGACACAGGTGAAAAACGAGAGAAAAACCCAAAAAAAAAAGAAAATAAATAAAATCCCACAAAAAGCTGTAAATTTTTTATGAGCATTAACTGTGTAAACCTTTTGCTCAGTAATTAACTCCAGGGCAAGGCTTAGACAATGATTGAGTCACATTTGTCAGTCTGATTAACTAAGTGAGTTCTCTCTTCTTCTCAGTTTCAATTTGCCGCGCATCAGCGCCCGGCTGGAGCGCCTCATGGGCACAAACGTGGTGAAGCTGACCGACCGCGACTACATGAAGCAGCTGCGTGAACGCATCGACGCGGATTACCGCAAACAGCTACTCGCCCGGATTCGAGCGCGTGAGGTAAGTAGACCGACTGGCGCATACCCTATGTACAGCAATAGACAAGTCAGGTATCGATTTTAATCGGCATGACATTTAATAGAACTTATCGAAATTTGATAATCAATTATGAATACAAATACATATCTTTATATATGGATTTTTGTATATCACACACATCTCATATTTTTAAAGAACTTAGAGCCTATTTATGTGTGTTCGATAGACCAAGTATGTAAATCGATTTTCTTTTACGTATACTTAAAACTGCTATAAACTATCGATACTAATCGCTATAAAGAAAATGGAAATATCTATTGAAATAGGATTATATAAAGCACATCAAATGTATCTGTATCTGTAATTGACTAAGGCTTAAAAATCAAATCGATATTTATCGTTTTTTAAATTTTGAGAATATATCATTATATTAGACATTAGAGACTGATTAGAGACAACTAAAAAAAGCTTAGCTTGCAGCTGAAAAGCTGTATGAAATATATCTCAAATACAGAGGATACCCAAGAGATAGTTTTCTTTATGAAAACTTGCTCAGCTGCTTCACTTTTACTCGCAGACAATTTGAACTAACTACAGGGTATTCAAACTTAGCCACACAAATGTGTCCAATTTGGAAGACGTCTAATTGAATTTTTAGGGGATTCTCAAAAATTTGTGGACCCTCGAAAATTTGTCACGTAGTCCGTTTTTATGAACTGCGATTACTTTGCAACAAAAAGGGATTTCTTGCAGGCAGTTGCGTGCGCCAAGCGGCGGAGGCAACAAAAAGAAAAGTTTTCAATAACAAATGTCGCGCCTGGTTCAGCTGCTGCTGCTGCTGCTGCTACTCGCTTCTCTCTTTGAATTGAATTCAATGAGCCCTCGACATGAAAATGGCAAATCCAAGCCGTCAAAATCATAAAAAATTAGACCATCGCGATAGGCACCAGCGACTTGGCTTATGCATGCGAGACATGCGAGCAACAGTGGCAACAATAGACGAGGCAAGACTGCTCTAGTGTGGGGTAAGCACGACAAAGGAATATCATAAGTCTAGCATATTATGACTTCTTTTTATTTACAACTTTTTTTAAATTATTTTTTTTTCAAACAATTATTGAAGTTAAGCTCAAAAGGCAATAAAAATGTATTTTCTTTAAGATTTTTGATCAGGTTTATATTTAATGTCTCTCAATATACACACCCATTTCCAGGGTATCACAGCCTAGCAATTGCCATTGCCAGCAGCAGCAGCTGAAAAAGTGCTTCAAAACTCGGAAATGCCCACTTAAATTTGTTTTGTCTCTGATTTACGAGGAGAGTTGCAGATATTTGGGGACGTAATCGGAGTAGCTCTTCGAGTATTATATTTATTTTTCTGCATTGCGCACTTGCAGGTGTCAGTTTTGAAGGTAAAAGCTCATAGATATAAACTGGAAACACTTGCAAGGACAGGTCCAAAGAAATTAGATGATTTTTAAACATGCCTAAAATTAATTAGATTATAGGAATATATAGTTCATATATTAATATTTGTAAATTAATATTCTGCAATACTGAATATTTTCATATTTTATTAATAACTCATTAAATGTTGTATAATTTCCTTAGTTAAGAGAGGTGGAGCGTGAGCGCATGCTTATTATCGAAGGCAAATCGGATATAATACCAGTGGAACTGGCAGACGATCCCATCTTTATGGTCAACAAAGATGCCAACGCTGAGATACAAAGGGAACGCGCGAAGGTATCAAACAATGGGGAAGCCATCGAGAATCGCATATCTTAAGCTCTATTTCAAATGTTTCCTCAGCTGAAAACGAGTCGAGAAAAGAATGCGGAACGCTTGAAGGTGCAAGGCGTCAAGTGGGAGCGTGAGAGACTGCAGCATGCGGCACAGGAAGCCGAGTTGCTGGCCAAGAAGCACGAGCGACAGCGCCAACAGAAGCTCCTCGTCGAGCAGTACAGAGTGGAGGATGCCGAGCGAGGCATGGACCTGCTGCGGTAAGCAAATGAAAGAATATCAAACGAGCTTGGCTTCGGCTAATTAAAAGTTATTCGATAGCAACGCAACAAACTGGCTAAGTAAATGTGTAATACAACAATATTAAAGAAATATTTTAGGATTACACCAAGGTGTGCTGGCTGACACGCCTCTCTAAGCCTTTAAGCCATTAGCTGTTGTGGTAGGCGGAAAAAGTGAAAGTTTGAGTTGAGAAAGAACAACATTGATGAACTTTAAATTTACTAGAATAGAGTTCTATCTATAAAGTAGTTGAACAGTTGAGCAGTTGAGCAGTTAAATACCCTACCCTTAAATAGCTTAGCAAATATGTCTGTATCTAGAAAGCAGAGTTTTAAAAAGTATTTCATTAGATAAAGGCATAGCTCATAAATATTATCTCATGAAATGTAAATGCAACTCAGACAACACTTTATAGATCAGATTTATATAATACTATGGCACAGTAACATTTGCTCTAAAGTTCATATATGAAGAATACATTTATAATTTTTTATCTATTTTTTTTTGATATTGTAAAATTTGTAGTTCGTTAATGAAATGTGTTAGGTAAGAACTATATGAATTATTATTTACATATAAAAAGAGTGCAAATATCTCAGTCTATCTAATTACCACGCCCACATACTAATCGGTTAGGATATATGAAATTCGGTTAAAATCAATTTGAGAAAAAAAGTAATTAATTTGCCATTATTTGAAAGTATAAGAAAATTACTTAGTAAAAGAAAATTCAAAAGAAAATTCTAACTATATAAATCAAAATTTAAATAGAAATTGCAATTCTTTTTCTCTACTCCAACAGCATTGACAACGAGGACTGGCGTGATTGCGAACAGAATTTGAAGGAGTTCTTGGAAAACGAGCGAGCCAAAATGAAGGAACGTTCGCTGCGTGTGCCCAAGCCATTCTCATCGGATCCAAAGGATATACTCAACATAGTTCGCGCCCGGTAAGTGCAGCAAAGTGCTTGAAGCACTTTATTATTAAGAATTGTGCTATTTGCAGCCAAAAATTCCGGGAAACAGAGCTGCGGATACGCTATCAGTTGGATGTGGATAAGAAGGACCATGGAACAGCGGTGGCAGCGATCAGCGATGGGGAAGGCTTCTTAGTGGAAGAGCCAGCCGCTAGCATCATCGAAATACCGCATGACGCGTCGGGAAGCTTTGGCGATTATCCCGGCGCCATTCAAAGCAAATACTTGGACGATGCCTCCGATGTGACTGAGGAATCCATCAAGAGTGAGAGTTTAATCAGCTTGACGGTTGCAAAGGAACAATATGCCGAGGTGTTACAGCAAGAGATGGAGGACGAGTTCAATCGAGGATTGCTCATATCTAAGCAGCAATACGATCAGTTGCGTTATGAGGACGCAAAAATTGTGGCACTGCGTAATGCTAAGGTAAGGAATAGGAAAAGTTTATCTAACTATATATTATCTATAAACTCTCTATAAACTGCATACTCTCTACTTTACTCTGTACACACTCTACATACTCTCTACATACTCTCTACATACTCTTTACATATCCTTTACATACTCTCTACATACTCTCTACATACTCTCTACATACTCTTTACATACCCTTTACATACTCTCTACATACTCTCTACATACTCTCTACATACTCTCTACATACTCTCTACTTTACTCTGTACACACTCAACAGAGTACAATGTATCTACATACTTTTAAATATTCTCTGTTTACTCTCTCTCTTTTTATAAAAAAAATCTTATATAGAACATACTTGAGCTGTACCAATTGGCTGAAGAGATCATTATGGGCGATCCGCTCCCGCCGGAGCCGGTGGAGGAGACTGCGGAACAGGATCTCGTACCAGAATATGTTCCTCCACGTGGCTCTGATGACGTGGATTGAGTATCAGAAACCATTCTTATTTTTTAAATGATCGTTATATATTTTTTTTCGATCCACTACCGTCGCACTCGTTCGACGGGTTTTTACAGAAGAAACCAAAAAAAAAATTCCAACTCAAAATTGTTGCACAACATTTTGTACCTATGTCCAAATAAGGTCCGAATTAACGATCCAAAAATTGTAGTATCAAAAAATAAATATGATAAAAATTGTAGAGGGGGGACGGCTGTCATCCACATTGAAATCTCCGTAACAGTCAAATCAAAATACCTGTCGAATAAGTGTCAACTCAACGAGTTTAATTAAACCTATAACACGCTTAAGATAAAACGAATAAAACTCACATATGAACAAAATCAACACTAATCCCACGCGCCAACGTGGGTGTCTCGACATTTCAACAGCGGACAGCCGCTAAATAGGCTACAAATATTTGCATTCGCTTGGGTGATAAGGCGGGCGAACCATGGCGTTCCTGAATACCAAATCTTATGCAATTCGCCATTTAAGTATTAACTCAATTTAATATGAATATTGACACTAGTCGTATGACATTCATGTTACCTATGGACCTATATCACGAATTAAAACAATTTATTTAAAATTTTTATTTTTAATTTTGATATAAATTAAGCTTGTTTATATATTTTTTAAATAAAACATAATATATATAAGCTCATTCAAGCTCTTGATAATTATTAAAAAGTTCAAAACTCTTTTTTTTTTTAATTTTGGATTATATAATAAAAAGTTTGTATTTTAAATTTTTGTATAAGTTTTTCTAAAACTGTTAATAAAATGCTAAGAAATAAAACTGTTTTATATTCAATTTTAATTATAAATATAAGAAATTTTTTATTGTTTTTCCAAAGTATTATTTTTACTACGCTTATACATTTCTTTAAATATTAGCAAAAGCCTATTAAAATATTTATATAGAATCATACAAAATAAGTATCGTTAAACAAAAAAAATTGTAGTATTTTTATATTTAAAACATTTTAATTTTTTTGAATTTAAAATACTCTAAACTATTTTTTTTATTTTAAATATTTTTTTTATTTAAATATTTTTTTTACCTAATGCCTAACTCGATATATTTTTATTGGCGAACTGAAATCGAATGTGATTTATGGAATTTGCATCGCAACAAATCTCAGCGTAATTAGCTGAGGTAATTTATTTATCTATTGCACGCCGGAAATGTTGGCGCCCGCATTGTAATCTCTATATGTTGAATATAAATATATATATATACATATATATATTTCAATAGGCGTGACGCATTTGTGAGGCGTGGGTTAGACTCCGTTTAAACTTTTCAAATTTGAGCTTTTGAAACTATGCAAACTGCATTTCATTTTGGCATTGATGAGAAGTTCAGCAGAAAATAAAAATAGACAATTTGCATTTGCCACAAGCTAAAAATACTTTTTTTGTCTTGCCCCATTCCTCGATTGGATACATCTTAAACTTGGCCGCTTCGAATGTCTGTTATTGGTTTTCTTCAGAGCAACAGCGTTTTATCATTTGGTTTCGGTTGCCCTAGGCAATTCTTGTGTGTGCGTGTGTTCCCTGATCCCTCTTAACTCAGGCCCGCTTTGAGAAGTGGAACCCATGCAAATGATTTGCTCTGCATTCACTCCCTTCCAGTTATTGACTTTAAAGTGTTACTTGTGGGTGCCTGCGGTGCCAGTCAACTGACTGCGGATTATGACCCTCTCATTCACCCACCCACACACAGCCACCCTCTGTCCTTTCTTACCACCCCACGGATAGCGACACTCTATCTTCGTTGTGCTTCGATAAAAAATAATAAAACTTTAGCCAGCGAGACTTGGCTCCATGTTATGGGTAAGTTATGTCGGCAATGTGTTCGCCTCTTAGACGTCTTCTACTCTCGAAGGTGCTAACGGTATTTTTTCCAAGTGCCATTGACATATTTATGAGCACATACACTAAGTTAAGTAAGTTTATAAGCATATATATATTTATGGAGGCATTATATGACTATGGCTAAATTTGAAGAGAAGAGCATTACGAGATTTTTATAGGAAAGCTTAAATATTCATAATTACTGGAAGACGAGTTTATAATTCAAAGTTATGAAAATAAATATAATTATTTTTTTATCAGATTTAAGTGAAGGAATAATCAATTTCTGAATTATTTTATCCGAATACAAGATTTATAATTACTGAACATTTTTAAAAAATATTTTCACACATTTGACAGATGTAAACTTTTTTTATATAAAATTGCAAATCATACTAAATATTTTTAAAATTTTATTTCATTTATAGCTTAAAGTTCTAAAATATAAATATAGAAAATAGTATCATCCATGTTTGGTCTCTATGCTATTATTTTTGTAATCTTACAAGTTCCTAAGTAGGATTATTTACATGGATTATTCTATGGCTGAAGCTCAAATCATTCATAACTTCTGACCTTAAAAGCGTAACCTGCATCTACGAATGTAAAGCTAAACAAAGAATAAAGATTTTATAGAATTAAAGAATTACTGAAATAGTTCCCTCGATCCCTTTGATCACACTAATCAGTTCATTTGATTTGTGTGTTGATGCTTCACCCACTTAACTTTCCAGCTACTATTCAAATTCAAAAAGTCCACGTAAAGTTATTACAATGACATAAGAGGCAATCACCGGCTAATTGCTGGGATTAGCATGCCTGTCAAAGTGCAATATATGAGCGTAATAAAAAATCAAGAGATTTATGATGACAACCAACTGTCATAAGATAAGAAATAATTATTTGAAAACAGAAAAGAAAGCTAAGGGCATGGGAGAGCGAAGCAATACAAAATGCAATCGCGCAGATCCCTTGGAAATTGTCTCAAGCGGGGATTTCCGCGTCGTCATTTACTGGGAAAAAGCAGCAAATGCGCCTTGGCCCAAGCCTGTTAGTTTTCCGGGAATGGAAAATGATGCGTGAAATTCCACACAATAAAAAGCATTGTCAACAATTAGTGTTGTTAAGCAGACCACGCCCATTCAGCCTACGGCGTAAATAATTGCGGCTACTTTTTTACGGCTAAATTCCCCGCATGATTTACCCATCATTTTTCATAAGACCATATCGGGCGACAAAACTTGTGCAAATGTGACGAAATTTTTCATTGATAAAGTCGACGAAAGGAAAATAATGGAGCAGGAGTCGGAGGAGCGGCCGAAGTAGGGGCAACGATTAAGCGTAATCGTAAAAGCTTCGCCAAGCTTTTACGCAATTTTTTGGCGCGTCACCGTCGTGTGTGCTCGTTACGAACTTCGTGTGTGGCTCGGCTCCGCTCGTCCTTTATAAAAGAAGTCGGCGTCGCGAGTCGGTTACGCAGTGTTCAACAAGTAGATAGGAGCAACAGTTTCCAATTGCGGAGACTGCAAAACGCAAAACGCATTCGGAAACGGAAAGTGAATCGCAAAAGTGAGTTAACGCGGCATGAAAATCAAATAAAATTTAAATGAAATGAATTGAAATTGACGATTTATAGAGGTGAAATGCAGTAAAACAAAATATATGTTCATATGAACTGGTTCACAGAGACTTTTGACGAATTGAATCGAATTGGCTAAACAAAACCCGTCGCGAAATCCTAGAAGTGCCGTAGCCAAGCAAAATGCGTGCTAAAATTATCTATATATATATTATCTACATTTATATATATTATATAATTCAATATATATGTATATATTATTATAAGCTGTGGGTGTGTGTGTGTTAGTGCTTGAAACAGCTAAAAGAATAAATAAAAACATTTATTTAAATTTAATAAACTTTTGAAGATCTGCTGAACGTTAAAATCCAAATCTTAAATACAAAAATTTAAAAAATTTAATTTAATTTAAAATTTTCAAATTAAAAGAAAATTGTTGAATATTTTGGCATTAAAGTTTTAAATAAATGCTTCACAAAATGTAGATTTGTTTTAAATTTTAACTAAATAAATTTATATTACAAAGTTATTTAAAAACGTCTGTTCATTATTTAAATGAATAAAATTGTAGAAATTCTGTTTGAAATTCCAGTTTAAAATAAGTTAAAATTAAATACGTTTACTTAAAATTTATTAAGCATTTCAAATTGATCTCTTCTTTACATTTTTAATATTTTTCTAGTCTAGCAGATAATACAATTATATTGGAAACTAAAAATATATATATATATATAAATTTTGCAAATTTTCGAATATTTTTCTAGTTGCAGCTTCTTTTTGTTCAAAGACTCATTAAAAAATGTTTGCTGCTAACTAAAAATTACGAAAAAATTAAAATTAATATACAGTTTTATGATAAGTTTTTATGTATACATTTTTAATTTTATTATTTTTATAGTATGTGTAATGCCTTGAGAAAATTAGAGTATACTTTTTAGCTTCACAAATATTTGAAACCTTTCAATTTCAAGTAAAGCTTTTAAGTATCTTAGCTACAAGAAAATGTGACGACTTTTGCTGTCGCACTTAACATTACTAAAAAAAAGGACTTCATAAAGGATATCATAAAGTTAAAAATAATCTAGTTTTTTTTTGCAAAAATATAGTCTAATAATAAAACTTGGCTACTTTACGTTACATTATTGCAAATCAATCAAGTCTTGTGTATGGTAAAACTAATCAAAAGTTATAAGGAGAATGTCAAACTGATATCTGATAAATAATTCAAATTGGAAATCAATCTTTCGTTTTTTGCCCATAAGCTAAGAAATTTCAGAGAAATTCCTCTTCCAATTTGCCGGACAGTAAACAGAAAAGTAGGTCACAACGGCTACACTAATAGCGGTATTAATATATATTTATGTTTACGCATTTAACCTGATTACGGCGCAGGTAAATCGTTTAGAAGACGCGTGTGGGAGCAAAAAGTTGAAGGTGCAAGATTTAGCTGAAAGTTAATGTTGAAGTAATTTCAATTAAAACGAGCTTAACTAGAGAATTGATATAACTATATTATATATATAATCTATTGTCTTATATATATAAAATATATCTATTTTTTTATCCCAAAATAAAAAAATATTTTTTTACATTTTTATCCCAATCAACATTTCGGATGTATTTCTGTTCAAAGATTTCAAAGAATAATTTTAGCTAAATATTGACTTTATTTTTAAAGGGAATTCCATTCACATGAATATTGTTCTTATTCAATCTGAATTTAAGCTTTGCATTTTACAGAAATTGTTTCAGTCAGATTTTTACTTACTTTAAATTCCTAATCAAGTTTTTAGATGAATTTCCATTTAGTCACTTTATAAAATCATGATTTTCTGCAAACAGAAAGCCAAACAAATAATTCAACAACTTCGCTGATTTCGTTAAATGTCAGGCAAACATACACCAAGCAAAGAATTTTGAAAAAAGCAGAAATATTTACAGAATATGTTGCTAGGCAAACATCTCGAGTTAAAGCCCTTCCGTTTCACCTGTGAAATTCCAAAGGGATGAAAAAAACCAAGAAAGTTATGAAAAAGAATCCCGAGAGTGATAAAATGCAATGCACGCACGCATCAGAGTTCGGTAGAATGTCAAACGAGTGGCTAAAATATTGCTAAGCAAAGCCAGGCTTACCCTATAAGATACCCTAACTTTAGGCTAAGCCATGAAACAATAAACGCATAAATATTTCAGCTGGTAAAATAATGAAAAATAATTAAAATAAAATATTATAAAATTTCAGATTGCGATAGTAATTCAGTTTTTAAATACCCTCACCTAAGTTTGAGTTAAAGTATTTTAAATTTTTTCAAAAATATTTTGAACTTAATAATTTTTCAAATTGCTTCAAGTGATATAAAAAAACTAAAATGATTCTTAGCAGAGTATATAGAAGTTTCGAGGATATGTGCGCGTATGTCTATGTGCTTGTGTATTGTGCGTGTGTTCTTGTAGGTGTATGTTGTGCCACATGGTCATCGAACACGGATCAAATTTCCTGCCGCAGGCGTGCGATTGCCCACATCCCTCCATAATTCCCTCGGCTACATCATTCGCCCTTGTGTTCCACACACACGCACAAAATATGATCATTGTCTGAGTGCTTTTATTTTTTGTGTGTTTGTCTAACAGCTGAAAGCACTGCGCTCACAATTTAAGTAGAGCTATCAAGTTCTTGACTCTTTCATAGTAATACTCACTCACAGCCGCAGGCCTCAAAATGGCATATTGGATTTATCACTGAGCATTGTGGGAGCGGGCCAATCGGAGCAAAACAATATTTGATACGAGCATATATTATATTTAGAACAAAGCCAAACAACATTTAAGATATTATTTCATAAAGTACTTCAAACCAAATTAGGTCAACTGAACTTAGACTATTTTAAGGGCTTTGTATATATCGAGATTTTGCTCTACATTTAGGCATGAAAAATTACTATTGAAGTGGATAACTAGCTTAATCTTTTATGTTGTCTAGATATATAAAAAAAAAACATTTGTATTTTTTACAATTAGTTTTTTAAGTTTGAGCTACTACTTAGCTTCAAACTGACAATGAAATGTGAAAAAATTCTTCAAATTTCATTTCTATAAAAATAATCCAAAAATCTCCTTTCAGAATTTGCAACATTTGCCAAAAAACTTGGCTTTAAATTGCCAAAAAAAATTGCTTTTCATATTGGTAAATCTCTTGAAATCACATTTCTATAGAATTTGACCGAAAACCTAAGAAAGTTGATTGTGTTGACTGTGACAGCTGCGCTCAATTACCATGTCATAAGTGTCGCAATATTATATTATATTGATGCATTGGGCACAAAGTTATGTGAAAGAAACAAGAAGTAGAAGAAGAAGAGGAGAAAGACATTTTTCTCGGGCCTAATTGGCTGGCAGCAACAGCTGCATTAGTTTCTGGGCACAAAAGTCGAAATGAGGGCAAACCCTTCGAGCTGCTACTCTTGGTCAGCGTTAATTAAAGAACTGTTTTTTTTTTTACAGTACGCATGATAAGTTTCGGTACCATAGGTGTGTGTACGTAGCCAGTCGTAACTTGCTTTGCTTATACATATTTTGGCTCAATTTTCTCATTAAAGCAATTAACTGTGCGTTTATTGCGAAACAGGTGAGCGCCTAGCCAGGTGACAGGCTACGAATGTGCTCCGCCCAAAGTCTTGTGGTAAATTTCATTCATTTCACCCTTGGGATCGCAGCTAACAACAACAATTTAGTCAAGTTTTTCTGCTCTTCATTCGCTTGGTTTTTGGACCAGTTTGGCGCTGTGTTTGTGTGTGTCAACAAGTTAATTAAAACAGTTTAACAACGATTCGTGTTTGCCTCTTGTTTGCTCAGAGTTCTATTTACCACCCAGTTAGGCCTGACTACACCCTAGTAACAGATAGATAGATATATATATATGGCTAGTACTTGTATTATATAAATAAAATATATTCTTACTAATTGTTTCTACGTAGAAAAGCTTGACATGTTTTCTAAAGAAATGTTCATTGAAGAGTTGCGTTAGTTGTTTGAAGTTTATAACATTTTAAAAGGTATTTAGTTTTTTAGACAAATTATTTGACTTAAGAAATATTTATATAAAAGTATTTAAAATATTACATTATTATTATTTATTAATTATATTTAAATTGAATTAATAGAAATAAAAATATATTATCTATTTTTCTTTTGTATGACAGCAATTGTTTATATTTATAATATACTAATTGTTAGGGCATTTCAGCATTTTATTTCTGCTTATTTATTTATTTTTGTAATTATATCTTTTAATTTTTTTCGTATTAATTTCTAAATTTTCATAGACTAAGTTACGTTTATAATTATAATATACCCATTATAGGGGCATTCCCGCTTGATTATCTATCAGACATGTTTGCTGTTTGCTTGTATTTCTTATTCATTTATTTTGTTTATATTAACGATTTTTTTCTTTTCATTTTGTATGCCAATCTTAGACATTTTTTCAGACTATTTATAATAAACTTAGTATTAGGGTATTCCTGCTTTGTCTGCACACAGACTTTCTTTTAGCTTGCCCTATTTGTGTTTTCTAAACTTTCTTATATTTTTATATTTAGTTTTTTATATATTTTATTTTTCATACTTTTAGTTTTTTAATTTTCTAGGGTATTCCATTTTCAGTATTTGCATTGATTTTTTATTCACTTTATTTCCTTCTACATTCTTTTTAAAATGCCTTTACTTTTATTTTTTCGAGCTAAAATTTTCGCTTGATTTTCTTAGATATTCTTATATATATATAAATGTATAATTATGAGGATATTCCAGCTTCGTTGTCAGACAGATTTCCTCTCGCATCCGTCTGCCTGAGTGCATGCGAGTACTTACTCTTGCCTGCCTGATGGCAACGCAAACAGTTAACTGTAAACCTGTCTATATTTAGTATAGCCATAAAATATGCATTATCAGTATTATAATATATGCAAGTATGAGTATACAAATATGAAGCATATATTAAAAAGACATATTAAAGACGCTGTGTGACGATGCTTGAAAGCATTTTGCATATTTGAAAATATTTTCATTCTTTTATTATTATTTCTATCTGTTCATAATATTTTCTTTACTGCTTGATTGAGTCAAAAGGTAGAAGCAAAATGATTGAATCTCAAAAATTAACATTGCTTTGCCGTACAATCAAAGCGTGCAGCGAACAAAATAATTTTGGCTACAAACTTTTTTCTTTGCGCCCAATTTTAATGAGTTTGGTTGACAAATTGAAAATGTTCATTTTGTTTTCAGTTCTTTTCTGTTTTGGCCAATTTGTGAGGCGTGCTAGGCGGCTTATTTATTGTTAGCTCGACTCACGGTTCATTGGGTAATTCGTCAATTCCTAGCAACAGAAAATTATACAAATTGCCAGCTCTGTGCGTGAAAAGTATTTGAGTTGAACTTTAAGCAAACATTTACCTTTAAGCTGGTTCTCAATTGAGTTGACTTAAGCTGACTCGGAATTGAGTTCACTTCAATTTATTCGCAATTGAGCTGGATTAGGATGGTACATAAATTAGTTCATTTAAGACAATTGAGTTAACAATTAGGCTCACATACGCTGGTTCAAAAATTTGAGTTCACTGAAATTAGTTCATGATTGAGTTCACTTTAACTGGTTCAGAATTGATTTGATTGAAACTGGTGCAGAATTGAGTTCAGTTAATTTAGTTCAGATACGAATCGAGTTAAGCTGGTTCAGAATTGAGTTCAATTAAAATAGTGCCTGATTGAGTTCACTTTAACTTTTTTCACAAATGAATTCACGTGAACTGGTTCAGAATTGAGTTGTTTTTAACTAGTTCTGAATTGAACCCACTTAAATGGCTTGAATTCCTCTAAGATATCAACTTTGGCAATTGAGTTGATTGAAGTAGTTCACACTTAAACTGGTTCGCTTGTGCTTCAAGCTAGTTCATAATTGAATTCATTTAAGCTAGTTCGCAATTAAGTTCGCTTAAGAACTATGTTCAAACTGCTTCACATTTGAGCTAGTTCGATTTTAAGTGGTTCTTAATTAAGTTCATTGAACTGGTTCGACCGCAATCCGGTTATTAGTTGAATTTACTTAAGATGCGTCTTATACAGGACGTTAGGTTCGCATTTAACATTGTTTAAGAACATGTCATGTTCGGAACTGGTTCATCATTAAATAGGATTCATTTGAGTTGATTTGAGCTGGTTCATAATTGAACCGAGTTCTTAAATTTTGACACGATAATTGATAATCGACGCGAGCTTGATTTGAAGAACTCAAAAATCTAGCAAAATTTCAAGCTAAGTGCAGAGCCAACAGATTTATTTATAGGGATCTGTAATACATGTAGTAGAACAGCTTAAGCCTAATAAAAAATGTGTGTTTCGTGGTTTCTTGTTGTTGTTTGGCTTGAGAAATTAAACCAAATCGCGAAGTTTTATGGGTTTAGACACCACCGCAAATGCCAAAAGTTTGAAGCCAACTCATTTATATTGTTCCAGAAGGCAAAAAGTTATTTTAGAGAAGAGGCCCAAAACAAAAAAAAACAGCTCAGTAGAGCTCAAGGGCAGAGGCGATGAAGGTTATGTGGCTAGGCTAATGGATGCACGTGGATAAAGCAGTGGCAATGAGGGAAGAGCGGGTGCCGTGGGGCTGAGGTGTTAAACTTGTGCTGCAAACGCGTAGCGAAGGAGTTAAGCTTATGCCACGCCCAGGGCTAATTAAATGAAACGATGCGAATGTCGGCCTTAAAATAAAAACAAGCTGCACAAGGCGAGAGGCAGGAGAGGCAGCAGCAACAGCAGCAGCAAAAAGTTGCCCAAGAAGATGCTTTGACACATCCTGTTGATTTAAACCTATGTGCGTGGCTGTGGGTGTGTGTGTATGTGTGCATGTTGTGTGTTTAAGCACAAAAAAGTGCTAACACCCACACGAACAATTGGTTTAAGGGGTTTACAGCAGGGCGGTGCCGCCCGTTTGGTAGTGATGGTAATTAGCCTCATACACATTCTCATTTTGTGCTTGCAGAGAAGACAGGACGACGCTAACAGCCCGCTAATCCCAAGGATAACATACACACACACATATATACAGAAAAAGAGTGTGAGAAAAACAAAGAGTAGAACATGAAGTTGAATATGCTCTGCATGCTGGCCCTGACGATCCTGGCCAACACGCATCATGTCCTTAGCTTTCTGACGGGCCAGGCGACGTCTGCTAATGGAGTTGGAGCAGCTACGATTGGAGCACAACAACAGCAACAGCAGCGTGCCAACATCTTTGATGGAGCAGCAGTTGGAGCTGAAGCTGATGCCGACGAAGGCAGCAGACAAGAGCTCAACTTGGAAACGCAGCAGCAGCAGCGCAATGTTTACGATCCAGGAGATGGTGAGTAGAGTCCCTCATTAAATTACGGCACAGTCTTTTGTGCCTGACAAGGATTACGCACTGACATTTGACTCCTTAACGCGACGCGTAGGCATTGTGCTTGCTCTTTTCTCTCGCTTCTCTCTTTTCCCCTTTCGACTGCCTTCAGCGGCCTTCAACAATGAAGGCCATGAAAATGTATTTTATGTCGAGCAAAACTTAGTTAATACTTTTTTTTCTGTTCACTAGCAATTTGTCTTAGTCAGAGTTTATCAGCTAGTTCAATTTGTATTTAAATTTATTGAAAAAATGAAAAAACAAATTTATAGATAGATAAATATATTTTTTTATAATATTAACTATTTTTTGTTTATTTTTTATAAAGAAAATTAGAAAGTGAACAACTTAATAAAAAATATAATTTCAAATAAAATTTCCCTAAATTTTCTTTTAGTTTTTATGAATTTACATTGTAGGAAATATGATTGGTTAAAATTATATCTATTTTTTACTCTTTTTCAAATTTTATTAAATATTTTTTAATAATCATAATTTTGCTAAAGCAAATGTATAAAATATAAATAATTTTAATTGAATTGATAATAATTGATAATACTAAATAGAATTATAACTCGTTTCAATTTTTTTTATTTTTTTTTTTTAACATTTTCTTAATAATTCTGTTCAAAATTGAATTATAATATGTTTCAATTATTTATTTTATTTTTCTTCATAAAATATATGTTTTCAAATTATAATTAATGAATTTATACTGGTTTTTTATTTATTCTTAGCTTATTTATGTATTGACAAATAATATTAAATTTCTGAAATGTAATAACAATAAAATTGGTGCTAAGAGGATTTCTAATTGCTTCTCAAATAATTTTTTGGTAAACTCAAATCCAGGCATACTCAGCCAAGTTGCTGCAGCTTCAAATTCAGTTCGCTTCAACCAGTCCTGGCCTGGCCTAGGTCTTGCTCGCAAAACTGGACTTTTGTTTTCAGGCTTATCATATTTCACAAAAAAATTGTAATAAAAATTGGTTTGATAATTTTTTGAATTATGGCTTTTAACAAGAGATTCCCACTCCAATTATATACACATTTTTTTTTTTGGCTACGCTCGTTCGATTGGGCACTCAACAGGTGCCCCACCACCACCTTTTTTTGTGCAGCCTGCTCTTAGGCGACCCACGCAGCAATGGATTTGAATGGTCGCTGGGCATTTCCGGTCAGTGCACAATTTTTGAAGTGCGTTTATCTATGGCAACACACCAAATACACACACACACACATCACAGGCATACACTTCATACGCCCACAAAATTTTAACATTTTTTAACGCATTTCAAGTTTGTTTTACGTCAGAGAAGTCGCGTCGTCTTGTCTGCACTTAATACACACACACACACACTGCTTTAGCCATAAAATTAAAATATGAACACAATTGATTATCATTTATTTGGAATACATAATTCGATTCAGTTTCCAATTGATTTGATTTGGGTTTGACGTTGAGGTTTTGCTTGACCTTAGAGAAAATAAAATGTATTTTTTACTCGTTGTGTTACGGTAGAAATTTAATAATATAGTAACATAATATAGTAACAAGTAAAAAATAAATAAAAATATACATTATTAAAGATGTAAGAAAAAATAAATAAATAAATTACTGAAAAATAAATAAAAAATATATAATACATTATTAAAGAATAATGATGCATTAAAAATAAATAAATAAATTATTGAAAAATAAATAAAAAATATATAATACATAATTAAAGAATAATGATGCATTAAAAAATAAAAAAAAAATAAATTACTGAAAATTTACAATAAAATATATAAAAACGAATTATATTTACAAAATTATAAAAATAATTCAAATATAATAGAAAAATATTTGATAAAAAAATTTATAATTAAATTAAAAAGTATGGACGGCAACAACTGGAGAATTTTGAGCATCAATCAGTCAATCATAAATATGTGCTAATCTTAATATATATAAATATATGTTAAATTTAAATTTTAATAAATATTCTTACTCTGCAAGATTTACCTATCATCAATCGGTCAGTCAATTAGGCCGTCAAAGAAAAGTTAAAAATTATTATTTTTAATACACTTTAAATGTAACAAGCTTTCAACGCTTTAAAAGACTTAACTGGCATCAATCAGTCAATCAATCGGACAGTCAATAATGCAGAAATATAAAAAATAAATTTGTAAAGCACTCGAATTCTATAATGCCTTAAATACTACTTCAATCAGTCAATCAGCGCACAAGCCCTACACTTTAGTAGACTGTTATTAGAACTTTGGCATTAACTAAGGTTTAATGCCAAATGGCTTGTAAGCTGTAATCCGAGTCCTTTAAGGCCTGGCATTTAAGTCGTTGGTTGCTTTGGCAGGAAGCTGCCAAATGAGACAAAAGGCAACCGCATGATAAACGCGCAAGCATCAAACACAATGAATGAGTGAAAATTGAGTGACTGACTGACTGACCAACTGACTGAATGAGTGAGTGAATGACGGCTGTCTGTGCCATTGTGGCGGCTGTAGCCGCCGGCCAATTTCCGCCACTCGCAGTGTATTTAATATGTATGAGTATTTTTAAGCCCCCGGACTGTAGTCGAGGCTGGGCAAAAGTGAGACAAACAAAACTTCAAATGTCAGTTTGGCGGAAACTTGAGAGTCGTCCCGCTCCTTGTGGCCGGATTAAGTTGTGCAAAATATTCAAATGCCAAATAAAACGAGATTTTTTTTTGCCAATGACAGAGCTGCTGCATGCGCTAAATATGGAGTTGGAGCCGGAGCGGGAACGAGAACGAGAACGAGAGCGGGAACGGGAACGTGAAACGGAACGCCAGCCAGACTATGCCACAGCCGTCGAGTTGGCCAGCAAATTTGACATGCTTAAGAAGATGGAGCAGGACTTACGCGCTGAACAGGAACTAGTCGACAAATCCGCTTTACTTATGAAAATGTTGGAGGTAAGTCGAAGGCGGCGGCGGTGCGGGGTGAAGCGGCATGTACTGGTATTTACTTCCATAACAAATGTTACGCCCACTTAGGATCCGTCATTGGATACGCTGCCATTGGTCTATGTGGAGGAGGAGGAGCCGACAGCCACTGCAGCTGAAGACTACCCGGAGCTGGATAATGGCATACAGAGCCTGATTATCGGTCAGAATAAGCCAAAACGTTCCCGTTATTATCGTCGCTATCCCTGGAAGCGACACAATCGCAATCGCGGGTAAGCTATTGCCAGCCCTGGTGCACACATGCACACACACTCTCAAGCTCCTTTTTTATTTAAAATAAATCAAATACCCAGAAATCGACCTAGCACCCATTTTTGATTTGTAGTTTATGGTGTTATTAAACTTACTAAAAAAATACGAATATTGGATTTTGTTGCTGAAAAAACTTTTCGAGATTCAAGTCAATAAATAAATACATTTGATTCTGATATATTAAATGTTTAAAAAATATTTTAAAAATTTCAAATTAAAAATATCACAAACTTCAGAAAACTATTTTTAAAAAAAAAGTTGATAAAATATCTGAGTGCATAGATAGCTTACATTTTGTAATTTGTGTGAAAACTAAATCTTAAAAATGTATACATAAAAAATATTAAGATTCTTTTAAAAAATATTTCAAATTAAAAATTATAAAAAGTTCAGAAAACAATTTTTAAAATTTTAAAAAAATATCTGACTATTTAGATTTCTTTCATTTTAAAATTTCTGTTAAGACTAAATCTTAAAAAAAAAAAATATATAAAAAATATTCAGATTTTTTTAAAAAATATTCTAACTAAAACTAAAATTCAAAATAATAGAGTTTCCACTAAAACAATAAATTTCAATATATAAAAATATTTTGGCGATATTTTCCAATTATTTCTGGAAAACTAAAAATCGAAAAAATTTCAGCAACAAATACCAAACCTTATTAGACACATATACATATATTAAAACTAGAAAACTGTACTAAACTGCATTTCCAAGAGTCTCTCTAGGCCGTACACACAATGAACCCTCCGATTACCGAATACCACAAATATCTATATGTATTATATATATATACTATATGTAATGAATATATATATATATATATATATGCAAAAATGTGGGCGTGATGTGAAACGATAATTTCTAATTGCAAAATATTACTGTTATTCAGTTCTTACATGAATTCTATCAACAGCAACTATGAACCGGAACTGCGTTACGCCTGTACACCTAGCAAGGAGGATATATTCAAGCTCCTGGTCAACTTGCATGAGAATCGTAAGGGCAATCACAGCAAGACCGTGAATTTTTGCAATCGCAAGCGACCCGCTAAGGCGGTATTTACCAACATACGATTCCTGGGCTAGATCTGACACTGAACGGGACAGAAAATGACACAAGTACACACATACACATACACACACACACACATACACACACACACATACACCCACACACACACTCACAGACATATGTATACCAAGCATCAATTTGTATATTGCTGACAAAGTCAAGCGCGAAAACTGGAGAAAAACAAGCACTAACAATTAGTTAACTAAACAAACTAACTAAACTAAACTAAACTAACCAGCTATTAGGTAATTATCTATGCAAAGAACCTTTTCGCACTCTAAGCTAGCCAATTAGCCAACACTGCATAGCCAAACTAGTGTTAAACAACGTTTAACTTTTTTAATGTCTCTCAATGTGTTGTATATACTAACAGATATATATATATATATATATATATATATATATATATATATATATATATATATATATATCTAAAGTTTTTAATATCAAGTTAATCCGAGTTAATGTTCCAGCCTGTCATATCATTAGAGAATGCGTCAATCGGTGTTGGTAGTCGAAGTATTATCTATGTTAACCTAACCTAGAAATTCAAATAAATATATGAAATATATAAATCTAACAAAAAATCATATTTATATATATACTATATCTAAATGTATGTATAAATCAACATCGATGTGTATATATGTATATGTATACTTAACAAATAACTACTATGACTTTTATGTATGAATATGTGTACCTATATAACTATATATATATATATATATATATATATATATATATATAAATATATGTGTATGTAAATGTCGGGAGATCTAATTGCTAAAATAAACCTATAAATAAATATATCTATATTATTCTTCTGCGCAATGATATTTTTATTTGTTCTATTATGGGGGAATCATAGAATTGTTATTTAGTTAATAATTAATTAATTATTAATAATTATGAATTAATTTATAATATTATATAATTATGAGAAGTGAGGTAAGATTTTTATTTACCTAAAATTTGGAAATACTTTAATTATATGAACGTTGATCCTTACCATCATATACCATAAACATCAAATTAAAATTTAAAATAAAAAAAAAATTAAAAAAAAAAAATTAAAAAAAAAATTTAAAAAAAAATTTAAAAAAAAAAATTAAAATAAAACAAACTGAACAGTTTTGTAAGTCATTTTCAATAAATAATTTGCAGCAAATCATTTTTAAATAATTTTCAAAATATATATTTGATCCTAAGCGCTAAAATTGAAATTTTCAAATATTATTAAATTATTTAAAAAAAATCTAATTATAAAATTTATATTTTTGGTTTCTTAACTTTTTTTTTTAAAATATAAAAATGATTAATAATGCAATTAAAAATTGGAAATATTACAAAAATCTTCATATAATATAACCAAAAATCTAAACCAATTTTTAATAATTTATTATTTATATTATAAATATCTTTAATGTTATTATTATTATTTATTACTAATTTTATTAGTATTATTATTATTATTATTATTATTATTATTATTATTATTATTATCATTATTATTTTTATTATTATTATTATTATTATTATTATTATTGTTATTATTATTATTATTATTACTATTTTTATTATTTCCAGAGTAGCTTAGCACCTCCACATAGCAGTCTAAAAGTGAAAGAAATCCATTAAAAATTCTTGTTGTTTATTTTTTTCTACTGCGTTCCAAAATCAATAAGTGAAATGATTCAATATAAGTCAATTGTGTCATATTTATTCGGCATAAATGTTTATATTCTATTGCATCCATTGTTATTCTGTGATCTCTCTACCAGCTTGAGGTTGCTGACGTCATGTAATATGTGACAAAAAATAGGTTTCGTTGCTGACTCATGTTATCTTAGAGCCAACACTGAAAATGTGGTACGGCATGCACATTGTGGTGCAGATACCCTGTACAAAGAGACAGAAAAGGTGGCTTAAAAAGCGACACTTTTGAAAACTTTTCCCAATTGCCAAAAATTAGAACATTTAAATTTTTAAATAAATATAAAAACATATGAATAAATTAGATTTGATAAACAGATTTAATATTCTACTTATATAAGAAATATTTCGTATAGCTCTTGTTTTTTACAGGATATCACATGACCACTCTTCATTAGAGACGCCCAGACTTATTTCCGTTGTTGTCAGGCCCAGCAGCGCTTCAAATAGATAACCTCATTGCCAAGCTGTTGTCTGGCGCTGTCGAGGCTGTGAAGCCTACCAAAGCTTCAGCAAACATAACCAAGAAGTGCCCAGTCAGTCAGTGGGTGGGCGGTGGTCGGCGGGGCGTGGTGCGAGACTTCAATGTCAACGCAATGTATTCACACTTCAAGGTGCGAGTGGGGGGCACAAATGGAACCACAATCAACACACTTATGCGATGTTGTAAACAATGCGACGCATTTGTATAGAAAACGAAAGTCAGCACCGAGTCATAATATTTCTGGGTCTCGGGTTTTCATAGCTATTGGCGTTGTTTTTAAGGCTATTTACTGAGAACTCCGAACTTAGAATCTAGCAAGGGAAATTGAAAAAATAATTCTAATTAAAGATATATACTAGGAAAATTTATCTAGAAATTTATTTTATTTTATTTTATTTATTTATGGATTTCTATTATTATTCTGAACTAGCCAAAAATATTGCTAAACCAGCTGCGTAGCGGGGCAAAGCAGATGGGCTTGGTTATCCAGAGCGTGTCTACGGAGAGACGCAGCACCTCCATGTAGTCGAAGGTGCAGCTGCTCTGCTCGAAAGCCTTTGTGCTAAGCTTGACCGGCCTGGGAGTCGTTGTCGGTGTCGTCTTCACCTCCTCATCGTCGTCGAGAGCAGCACGAGCAAACGCCTCATCAGCATCGAAATAGTAAAACTCTTTGCGTGTGGAGTTTGTCTCCACCACACGAGAGGGCTGCTGAGCATCCAGGCCACGGGCATGGGCCCAGGAGCCTGACTGCCGAGATTGACGATAGGGCGTGGGCAGCAACGGAGAGAGCGGCGAGAGTGGGTAGCTGGGCAGCCGTCCAGGATAGTTGGGCCATAGCGTTGATTGGGGCTGATAGCCACCGAGACCTGGCTGATAGCCTCCTAGACTAGGCAGACCACCTAAGCTTGGTTGATAGCCAAGCTGTGATTGTAGTCCTCCGAGCTGAGGTTGAAGACCTCCGAGCTGTGGTTGAAGTGCTCCGAGCTGTGGTTGAAGTGCTCCGAGCTGTGGTTGAATCGCGCCTAGCTGTGGCTGATAGGCACCTAGGCCAGGCC